GCTGTTCGAGGGATGCCTGCACATATTGATCATCACATGTTAAGCCGTGTGAGAGAGGAAACACTACAAAGATGGTACCACTGCCTAGAAGTTCAAGGTAATCATATCGAACAATTTACTTAATATTTGATTCTTAATAAATAAAAAATTCTTTTATTATTCAATAACAACACTAAGCAAATTTTTCAACCGTTACCTATACTAGCAAAATCTTTAATAAGAAAATTTCATTTCTTATATTGACTTTTTTTCTTTATAAATATTTTTTGATAAAATATGATTAATTCATAAATTTAATATACTTCCAAACAACTTTTATTTCATTTCTAAAAAAAATAAGTAATTGAACTTGCAATTTTAAATCCGTCTTAGCTCGAGCGTATACCGACCGTTAACCTACCGTCCACCATTTACCTGGCCGATTGCATTTCGACAGGTAGTCGACGAAGATACGTTGTTTTTTCCGGCAAAATTCCGCATTTTGTTTAATTTTTATGCGAAAAACTAATAAACCGATATTTGATTGTGAGGTACCGTTGGATTCGTATTGTTTTCATCTTTCGGAAGATACCATAATATACTGGGTGTTCCATTTAAAAAAACAAAGTTGATCTATTTTCCGGAAAAACTAAAAGTGATGGCAAAATTTTCAAGTGATGGCAAAAAAAAAAGAAAATATTTGTGCTGATAAAATATAGAAACTGACGTTTTTTTGTTCATATTGATATCTCAATTTGTTCGGAAGTTAAACAGGGGGGGGGGGTTACTTTACGCTAGCACTGTATGTATTAATATACTTATTCAGTTGTTATTTAGTTAAAGAAGGGACATGTTGTGATGTAAGTTGCATAGATTGCCAGAAGATGTTTGTAAAGGTTAGGGGGTTTCTGACAGGCGTTATTCGACAGAAAACCGTTATAACAGCCTCATGTAAAATGTAAGAGAAATAATAAACAACTTCAATCATAAAATATATATTGTTTGTGTATGTAAAACAATAACATAACACTTTTAGCGTGGATTAAACAAAGTATATTTGTTTTCATTTGTTTATTCCATTTTTGCTGTATGTATTTATTGTAATTACATTATACTAAAATCTTGTTTTTTGTAAAAACCTATTTAGTAAACCTCTAGTGGGCACACGCACAACCACAACTGCTGGGTACCCCCACCCCCTTTTAGTTTCATCACCGTACAATGCAGTTTTACCTCGGTTTGTTTGACCATTTATCGATTGTTATCGACAGACTTAAGTCTTTACAATTTTTATTAGTTTCTTAACGTTAACATAATAGTTTGACATCTGCATTTATTGGCGGTATACGCTTTCTTTCTCAGTTCACGAAGTTAAAAATAGAAACCTGTAAAATTAATTTTCTTTTTTTGGGCCTGAACTCGCTATATTATTATCCTTGTTTACAATGGCGTCGCCAAGGGGGACAGGGGGTAGTTACCCCCCCCCCCCTAGAGATCAAATGTAGCTAGCCGCAAAGCGACCAAAGTGCGAGCAATTGACTTCCTTAAATCCTTACCTATTAATAAATTCCGCATCGCATGACACACGTAAATAAATTCACAAGGTTTAATGTATATTGTAGAAAGTATTGAAATATTCAGAATAACATTAAGATTTTGACATCCGTTTTTAAAATCAACTTTAACTATCGATTGGGATGCGATATTTTGATGAAGAAACACAGCAAGTCCAAGAAATGTTTGTCGGATTCATTGAGCTAAAAGATTTGGATGTGAAATCGATTGCACATAGCATAGATGAGTTTTTGACAAAAGAAGATCTGAATATAAATAAATGCGTTGGTTTTGGTTTTGATAGTTGCTCAACGATGTCAGGAAAAGACGGAGGGGTACAAGCGATCTTACGCAAAAAGTACACCAAAGCCCTCTACTTTCATTGCTAGTCCCACAAACTGAATCTAGTTATCAATGATCTAAATTCACCTCCTGAAATTAGAAATGCCATGGAAACCACCAAAGATACTATAAACTTTTTTCGGGAATCAGTTTTGAGGAGGATACCTAATATTTCCAGACTTTGCGAGACAAGATGGAGTGAGAAACACAAAATCATCAGAGTTTTTAAAGAAAATCTTCCAGTAATTCTGTAAGCCTTACAAACATTATTTCAGGAAGGAAATAGTGCAACTCGGGAAAGTGCCTTCCAACTGCATGCGGCTATTTCCAGAATTTCTTTCATTCTCGGGATTATGTTGGTAGCCAAATACTCGGCTTTGATGGAACCCGTTGTCAACGTACTCCAATCTGTAGCTTTGGACGTGGTCAAAGCTTCGGAACACGTTAAAAGGATTTTACTTTTAATTAAAAACCACCGTGAAAATCCAGAAAAAGTGACAGACGAAATTATAAAGGAAGCTACTGCTGTTGCGGAGAAAGTCGGACTGGAGGAGGACATTACATCAATGCCGCGTATTACGGGGAAACAACGTCATAGAAGCAATCATCCAGCAGAAAGCCCTTCAGAA